TGTGTGTTCCTTTCTTTCTGATGTCTCTATTATTCAGCATGACCAGGTCTCTTTTTAGTGAAATGAACTACTCTGAAATTGGCATCAGACCAGGAAGCCACAGGCAGTTACTGAGCCAAGCTTACTGCTGCTGTTAAGGCCAAGAATGACCAATGCTATGGAAAGCAGTTGTCAAGAAGACATAGTAACTCATCAGACCATGAGGCCAGCGCAGTGAGAGGCTGAGGAGAGGTTGCCCTCAGGGGTGGTGATTTAATTTTCAGACTTCACATTACTAAAGATAACCCATTAGACTCGCCAGTTACTGAGTGACCTGCAGATCCTTCCCTTTTCTAGCTCAGTTTCCCCTCTGGGCATAGAAAGCTATCAGTGCTCCCTTAGGAAAGGAGCAGAGTTGTGCAGCTAACTGTTGCCCTGAACAAAGACAGGAAAAAAACCTCACCCACAGCTGCCCAACAGCATAAAAGCAGAAGAAAAAAAAGAAGCTATTACTTATGACAAGGGTATTTATGGGACAGCTGATGTTGCCTTCAGAAGCACAGCCAGGAGCTTAGTGGGAAAACTTTCCATCTGTGGCAAACACTTCATGGCACATGGTGAGGAACTTTGTGGCACTTGGATGGGTAAGCCAGCGGCAATGTGGAGCTAGTGCTCTGCTTTCCTTTAAAGCAGCCCCAGGGGTGGAGGTGGGGAAGGAGCTGGGTGGCAGTGCAGCCTCTTTCTTCTCCACACAGCACGACCCAAAGCTGTGGGACACAAGCACATGTGCAGGCTCTCTCTTGCACAGCAGGACTGTCTGAGCTGGGTGTTAGGTGCTCCCAACAAGCGCGAGACAAGCAGGAGGTGCCAACATGACCATTCTCCCCAACACATGTACCCCCAGGGGGGAACCACTAGAGGCTGCAGCAAGGCTGCACCATCTTTGAAGTGTTTATCTTGGCTGCCACTTGTGATCTAAGAGGATCAGCTATTTCCCCTTGGTCACATGTACCCCTTGGCCATTCAATTCCCCCTTTTCTTACAACAGCCAAGGGGGCCTTACCTGGGACTTTCCTGGGTCATAGGGATCCCAGGACCACGACCAGAAGATGAGGTGTGCCTTGCACTCTGTTTTTGGAGCCCCACTGAAGCCCAAGAAACACTTAAGCCTGCCCAAGGCCTGCTTCATGAAGCCTCATTTTCTTCACATATCTAAAAATTACTAGATGCTGGCACAGGTATTTTCACCCCACAGAACTGACAGAAAAGCACTTTCCAAAGCACGAGAGCTGCATATCAGTGTATCCATCAGTCCATTCAAATGTCTGTTGTCCAGTGTCACCAGGCTCCTGTCTCTTCTGCCGGGCCTGGAGCTACTGCTGCATTTGAAGAAGGTGACACTAGCTTTATGGATCAGCTCCTCAGTTTGTTTTGGTAAGATGGGAGCCCAGGACTCCATTTTTACCAAATGCTGCTCACTGCTCTTTCACTGCTCAGAACAGAAACCCAGGGAAGGCACAACTTCCATGTTCTTGCTGCAGCAGACTTCCCTGCCAGGAAAAACATTTTTACACTTCTCTTTTTCTGTGTGTGTGTTTTAATGGTTGCTATTTCTAAATTATCTATTCCTAAGATTATTTCCTGTGGGAAAGACTTTACATTTTTAATTCCAATAATAATTTTAGTAACAGTTGCCATTTTCTGCCAACGTTTCTGCATTTTGGGATAGAACCAAAGTATATGTTCTAAATTCCTCTTCTCGTTACACATTCTCTAGGAAAGCTTTTAAAGCAGCTATTTCATACATCAAAAATTACAGGGAAAAAATTTTTTCTTAGGCTCATGAGACCAATTTTCCATCCAGTTCCAGGCTATCGCCTGCTTCCTGCATAGTTAACCTCATTCTTCCATTTCCATTTAAAAGTCAAATGCTTCTCTCCCTCATTTAGCTTTCATGTTGTTCAAGCTAGGCACCTGGTTATAACTTCCACTGCCAGTTCTTCTGCACCCAACTGGGAATAATTTGCTTATCAAGAACTGTTGCTGCTGCTTTGCAAATCTGGCCATGCTGAAGAGTACAGGTATGAAGGGCTGCAGAGGCTCCTCTCTGTTCCTGTGCCACTGGCTCTCCTGCTTTGGGAAGTTTGCATTCTTGAAAGCAGCAATTACTTGTAAATTTTGAGGCAATTACTTACACTTTTGTAGACACAGTAAGTGGTGTTACTGTGCATACATGTCTTTGCTGAAACCCAGGAGTGAAATCCCTGTCTCGCTGAGATCAGCAGCAGGTTCAACCTTGACTTAGCAACGTCATGATTACATCTCAAATGTCACCTGTGACCTTAACCAAGAACACTACTTCAGAATTAATAAACTCCTTACTTTCAGTCAAGAATAAATATATCTGAGAGGGGTTTTATGTTTGTTTCAGTTTTGGGAGTTGAGAAACAGGGTTATTTTAATACAAATATTGCATTTATATAACCTCTGAAAAGAAGATTCTTGATGCTTTTTGCAGGAAGTTCAGCAGAACTACAAATGCTTAGAGTCAGCCTCAATATATGGTGTATTATTTATTTGTCCAAATGTAATAAAATTTACTCCCAAGTTTGTGTTTACTCCTGAAATGTCTGCAAAGGACGTGAACCTTCCAGAGATAGTTCTTGATAAGCTCGAAAGATTTGGTTTTCAAATCAGTTCTTTAGGTGAAATGGGAGTTGGCTTCTGTTCCCTGCAGCATAGATTCTAAATGAGTAATATATGCACTGTGGAAGCACCTGTTTCCTTCTGGGCCAGTTTCTCTTGTTTTGCTTAGTTGCAAAGATTTCTGCATTTGCAGGTGAATTATTTACATTTTAGAAATAAATCAGAGACAACATCCAGACAAGGCAAGCAAGGGTTGTGGCTGCCCTGGCAGCACTACCACTGCACCACTGCAGAGGAAGTGACTGGGCTGAATTTTATGCCACCACTGACCTGGTCACACGACAGCAAGTGTCACCTGGAATCCTGCCCCTTATTCTTAAGGGCCACGAGGGCAGAAGAAATTGTCTCAAGGTACCCAGAGATTCCACATCAAATGCTGCAGGAGAGGTGAGGTTTGGATCTCATGTCTGTAGCTCAAACCCATCACTCACATTACAAAAACAAACCCCTTAAAACAGGCAGCAGTTACCCATTTCAAGAACACACAACACAGTGTAGATTTTGATTCAGATTTTTAATAAATTGTGCCAGTAGAAGCTTTCAAAGGCAATGATATATCAATAAATAACAGTTAAATTGAGTTCCTGAGAAAGAACCTACCACATGAAAGAATGTCAGATAGATGTAAATAACAAAAAATGGCATTACTATATAAAAAAGCAGTAATACTGAATCTTACATGAACTGTCACAACACAAGCACTGCATACCTCAGAACATTCCTTTCATACAAATGTAAACAAATACACAATCATTTTTGTTTAGTTTAGGCTGATGAATTCATATGTTGTTGCTTAGATATCTAAACAATGGATAGGATAGGATATGCTAAAACATTAAGGAATAATATGTGGAATAATATACGGAAAAAATAATGAAGCTCCAGATTTAAAAATAAAATAAAGCAAAAACACATTAAAGGAGTGTTTTCCTCAAATGTTATTAGGTCAATCACTTTAAATAGGACTGTTACACTAATCTGAATTAAGGATTTTTGTGTGTGTTTACTTATTTAGTTATATATAATATATACGCAAATATGTATGGCTTAATTATCTTTAGTATTCTGATATCACCTTGAATAATTCTCACTTATACATACAAGAAAAATGCATATTTTAACATAGTTAAGAACTGATATTTCAAAGTATGCCTACAATTTGACAGAAATGAAGGCCTACTGTGCTCCATCACAGCAACATTTTAACCTCTAGGCAACAGGACAGAGTGACCTACCAACAATGCCAACATTTTCAGGTGTCAGTGCCAAAAACACTAGGATCCTAAATGGATACACAGCCAGTCACATGTAAGGATCTGATCTCTGGAAAAGCCACGTACCTCCATGGAGCTGCAGGCACTCAACATCAGCCTCATCTCACTTAGGATCTCAGCATGTTGGGGGAGCACAGCGCTGGACACGCTGGTTTGAAGACACTGTGCTGCATCTGTCAGCATTGGTGCTGTGCATTGCTGCTGGTGCTGAACCACGAGCACTGTGCACTGCCTGGACCAGCCCCAGCCAGGCTGCTGCCAAAATCAGCTCTGCAGTAACGGTCTCGCTGTTGATCCTTGGTGGGGAAACGCGTGTGCCGATGACACGTGCGTGCTAAAACGACCTATTACATCAGACCACAACATCACTATTCAGTTAGAACCTTTGCAATCTGTTTCACAAAATTAATATTGGATACAATCATAAGAGGAAACCATCCACACAATACATTATCAACACACGGGTTAAAATGGTCTAATTTTAGACCCTTAGTAAAAACGGATCCACAGGACCTGCCTGTGAATGGCAAGAAAAGGCCATTTCAAATAGAAAAACACTGCTCATGCAACATTCTTCACACACTAGACAATGAAATCACACCCAAATTGTCACTTTCTCACACTTTCTATTACACCCCAATAAGCAGAAGGAAATAAAGCAGCTTTAAGGTTATGTCACAATTTTGAAATGTGGAAAATGCATACAATAAACAAAAATCACGGTGCGAATACAATGGCATCAGTAAATTTAGGAAATTAGAGAGCAGTTTTCTATTTTTCATTTTTCTTCTTTTTTTTCTTTCTTTCTTACATTATTGCACAGAGACCTTTCAACACATGTTCTTCAGCTTTACGCATCTTCCTAAATGTGTAATAAGTGCTATGGATAAAATAAAAATGTAGAAAAGAAGAACAGCAGCATGATTTGTCAAAGTTAATCCCTATAATTTAGTAGGAAAAAAACCCCTGCTATAAACAAAATATAAGTGCTCTTTATTCATTTAAAAAATAACGCTGACAGTTGCAGAAGTCTGTAAATGTTAATCTGAGTAGGGGGATGCTGACCTCAAATAAAAATAGGCCTAGAAATGATAGACTGCTGGCCTTGCAGATTTTGGTGAAGACCAGGATTTCAAGTGTAATTATCAACAAAGTTATTTACAGTAGAACTGACCTGAACTTTCAAGAGTGCCATTTTTAGGACCTGGCCCTGCAAGCTTCTGACTCCCCAGGATGCCTCCAGCTTCAGCTGAAGGTACACCTGAACAAGTGCTGCAGGATCAGCTCCTAAAGGATCAGTTAAAGGCCCTATTGGATTCGAGATTAGTCTTATCTGGAGTACTCTATACAATAATTTACACATATACAGGCTGACAAGCTCCAGTCTGATCCACCACACCTTTGTCTTCTGCATCAGATTTCTCAGACTGGCCAACTTCCATTCCAGAAGGTTTGGGATACCTGAACGGATACCCGTTGTCATCAAAGAATCTTCGGAAAGTAAACTCGTAAAAAGCATGTTCTGTATGTTTGCTGTTGGAAGAAGCTAGTGGATCCCATGTCCTGGTGCTGTCACCGCTAGCATCGTTCCAAGGACTTTCTTCTTCAACTGGATCGAAATTTGAAGTGTCCATAGGATGGCTGATCTTTGGAACATAGGGAGCTGGCTGCCTACGGATATCGGTAGAGAAGTCCATAGAGTGAAAGAAAGAATGAGCTTTAATATCATCTGCTCCATTTCTTCCAAGCCTGTCCTCAGCAGCACAGCAGAGCTTTGTGATGAGATCAGTTGCCTCAGGGCTTAGCTTGATCTGTGAGGGAATGTGCAGTGTACTTTCCCAATTTATCACCTGCAGGTAAGAAAGATATTAAGCAACTTCTAATCCTGGAAACAGAATCCTTGCAATTGCCAACATTAACTGTATAGAAGTATGTATGTAACGAGTCCACTCACAGTCTGCATATCTCAGAGGTCCAGGGACCCAATTATTAGATTGCATTGCTTGTTAATAATTAATTTAGAGAACCAAAAAATATTGTTGGCTAGCAGACAAAAGAGCAATTCCATTTTTTAAAAAGGCAAGTTCCCTCCTGGATGCTCCCATAGTCAGATTTGAGAACACACTCACTTTAGACATTTTGTGGAATGACTTCAAGGAATGACTTCATTTTGTCTCCAAAATGTAAACTAGGAGAAATGGTCACAAGATAAATCCCTTCCATCCTTTCTAACTGCTCGACTTTTAAACACATTGCCAACTGCAATTATCACTGGCATATCAGCTTACTGATAGGCACTCTAAGGAATTCAAATAGATGAACCTGTGCTTAAGAAATCAGAATTCTGCCGAGAAGACTCCGAAAACTAATACCTTATCTACGCAGTTGGACAAGTCAGTTCTAGTCAGTGTTTTCGTTGCTTGGGAAAGGATCTGTGCTTGCATGGAACTATTTAAAATCAGGCTTTTGCAATCATTAGTCCTTTCTCTAGTAAAACAATGGGGGACAGCTCTATGCATGGAGGAGAAGGGAAGGGAAAAGGTTAACATTTTGCTACCACAGATTGGAACTTTGCTTCAGCTTACCTTCAGTTGAGTTTCTGTGGGTGTAGGAGCCAGGAAAGGAGGCTGTCCCACTAACATCTCGAAGAGGATCACACCAACACTCCACCAGTCACACAGCTGAGTGTATCCTGAAAGGCAAGTGAACAGGTTGACCTCCACCAGCCAGAGAGGATGTGTACAGAGCTACTTGCAATTAAGCATTAACAAACACCACACAAATTTCTGCCTTTTCTCAGACAAACGATTTGTGACTTCTGCTGGCTGACCTAAATTCTGCTGCCAATAAAGATCTAATCCTGTTGTCTGTGAATCTTTCTGAATAAATTTTACTTTCAACAAAAGTGAGTCATGAAACCATATAATTAGAAAGAATGAAGGAGGGGGTTTTGTGCCCTGTCCCACAGCTACATCACTACACAGACAACTCTGAACAACTAATCCCCTTACTACAGTGACCGTGTCAGTTCTGCATGGATAGCCACCAAGTACTGTCTAAATTCCTCAAGCTGAGCTTTTGAATGTTGGGTCTCCAGTGTAAATTGTGGAAAACTTTTTGTTGGGTTCCTCAAGTTCTGGCTGGGAATCTGGAGGACATGTTTCCACAAGTTTGCATCATCCATACATAAGTCGCCTACCTGAATGAGTGATCCAGAACCATCAGCTGGGTACCCACTGGTTTATGTAAACTTGATAGCAGCCAGAGTTGTACTCCATGAGTAGAGATAATCTGCTTTACACTTGAAAAACATCACTGCTAACATTGTCCAACTCATTTACTAACAGTCTCACTCAAAGGCCTCAGAGTGTGGATATACACAGACAGACAAAGTATGGCCACCACCAATGTCAGTTAGGTGATGCTAAACACTGGAGCATGGAGAGTTCTCCTTAATCTGAGCTAAGTGTGTGTGGCCTTCAGAATTACCACCCTCCAAAGCAGCAAGCTTATTCAAGGGGAAAAAGAAAAGTATTTCAAAGCATCAGTGTTCACTTAAACAGGAGAAAAAACGCAGGTTCATCTACCTTTACGAAGCAGGACTTCAGGAGCAATGTAATTAGGGGTTCCAACTAACGAGTGGGCTAGACATCTCTGATGCTGCTTCTTAGCTCTTTGTTCCAATGTCTTCAGCCTATCTCCACATCTACAATTGGACACATCATCCCAAAGATCACTGGGCTCCATGCTGTCTTGTCTGGTATGGCTCCCTTTCAAATGCGAGAGAAAGTTTACATTCATGGTCATAAAACATGACATGCAAACCATAAGTATTTACCTAGATCTAGTGCCATCTCCTACGCACTGAAGAATAGCATTTAAACTTTAAACCCAAGGTATTTCCTTCTGCCCTCCCGTTCACAATTGGTTTTCCATACAAAATGTCCAACAAAATGTCTCTGTCTCAGCACAAGGAAGTATATTTTCATATGGGAGATACAGAACAATGGAGCTATCCCAGTTATTTATGACCTTTTTGCCAACAGATGCCAATACTCCTCAAGAGCACACACAGGAGATATGTGGACTACTTCAAGCCTGTGATTAAATCACTTCACCATTTCAGAGATCCTCTAAACAAGTACAGACTGAAAAATGGCTGCTGCTGCAGTGGACAGCCACATTACTGACAGGGCTTTGAATAGTACTGGAAACAAACTAATTGAATGAGTCAGAGAGAGACAGACACATAATATTGCCATTGACGGTTTGTCTGTATACACACCACCTTGGTTTCCTCACCTGGCATTTCTGCCAAGAGCTGGGTGCTTGTTTCAAAATAAATACTGTGTACCATTCCAAATAAAGTCTAAAAACATTACCTTTCTGATAATATTTTGAATTGTGAGTCCACCTGAATCCAGTACATAGTCCAAAGTCAGTCAGTTTGATATGCCCATCGAGGTCTATCAGAATGTTGTCAGGCTTGATGTCTCGATGAATGAATCCCATTTTGTGCACACTCTCTATAGCCAAAGTGAGCTCTGCAATATAAAATCTAGCCAGGCGCTCTGGGAAGACCTCCATCCGAATCAGGAGACTCATCATGTCCCCACCAGGGATGTAGTCCATCACAAAGTACAAGTTCTCTTTATCTTGGAAGGAATAATAGAGTTTAACCACCCACTCATTGTCTGCCTCAGCAAGTATGTCCCTCTCTGCTTTTCTATAGCCAAAGTGAGCTCTGCAATATAAAATCTAGCCAGGCGCTCTGGGAAGACCTCCATCCGAATCAGGAGACTCATCATGTCCCCACCAGGGATGTAGTCCATCACAAAGTACAAGTTCTCTTTATCTTGGAAGGAATAATAGAGTTTAACCACCCACTCATTGTCTGCCTCAGCAAGTATGTCCCTCTCTGCTTTGACATGAGCCACTCCGGTTCAGTATCTTTCTTTCGCAGAGTCTTCATGGCATACAGGGCATGGGTATCCACCTTGCAGGCCAGGCATACTTCTCCAAATGCACCAATACCCAGAGTCTTGATTTTCACAAACATAGATTTGTCCATTTTGGCCCTTTTAAGTCTGTTGTAGTTGGACTCCTTCTGGTAGAGAATTTTCCTCATTTGTTCCTGTTCTGCTTCACAAAGGCCAGCCTTGACAAAGGAAAGCAAACCACAAGAGCTAGTACTGTTATATTCATAGCAAGAGAACAATAAATGAGCATTCCCAAAACATGTTTCTTGGAAAAATTAACCAGGGCCTAGAAAAGACATATTTGTGAGAGATACACTCACTTGTCTGTCTGTTGGGGTATTTCTGTAAAACTGGCAAATTCCCTGTGCCCTAATTTGTTACCTGAATGTCATATCTGAGAGTGGTCTGCCTTTCTCATTTGACTGAATGGAAGGGCATGGGACAAAGCTGTCAGACAGGGGAATATAACACAACAAACCTGACCACGGGAGTTGGTTTACACCTTTTCAAATGTGCACTTTGCCACTGCAGTCCACTACATGTATGTGCACTGCGGTATAGCTCCATTTAAACTGAAAGTTAAACTCAGATGCAGCAGTTCACTTTGTTCATGAATGTTCTCCAGGACAACTCACACTGACAGCTCCTACCTACCTTGGGTGCTGTCTGGCTGTTGTTTATTTTGTGTTGCAATTAGAAAGTTGGTTTTAACCTACACATTTTGGAACCTTCTTTAGAAACTGTTTTTCTTCCTCTGCCATATAAAGCCTCCACTCTCAAGGTTTGTAGAGCTCCTGAGGATCTGCTCTATAAAATTCTCTCTTTTCCCCCCCCCGAATATGTGCATATAATCCTCAGGTCTGGCCTCTCCTCAGTCACTGCAGCCCAGACTCTGGTGCTATTTCCCCCCCTAAATGCATTATTTTCCCTCTGCACCTAAGCTGTAAAAAAGCTGGCTTGTCTACCTCCTGTCCCCAGAGGGCCTCCAAGTAACATTTCACATAGCTGTGTTGAGAAACTTCCTGCGAAAGGGAAAAGCTGCTGTATCAAACCAGACTTTCTCCACCCTTCAAGGCAGAGCCTGCACCCTGCCAACTTTGGTGCCTGTCCCTCAGAGCCATTTGGTGCTCTCCACGAGCAGAAGCCCCTGGGCTGATCCCCAGAATCCTCTGATAACTCATCCACTGCAGCGTGCCCCTTTCTTTCTGCATACCCCAGTTCCAAAATCTGAATTAACTGGCATCAGCTGAACCACTCTGAGAGGAAGATTAGTGCCTGGTGAGGAGGGGCCATGGGGAGGGTGCAGGGAGTTGAGGCTGACTGATGAGCAGGCTAGAAACCCAAGCATACACCCACAGGGCTGCTGCTTAGGTTGATTAGGTAGTCTAGGTATCTAAAGATGAATGTGGGCAGCCAGACTATGCATGAGATCCCCACGGTATAAAAAATTAAATCTGTATGAATAAAGGATGGAGGAGGTCTGCAGAAACTTGCAGAACAGGTAGGATGAATCTTCAGACTGAAGGGAACAGCCAAATCAAAACAAGGAATACTGTTTCTAAAATGAAAGGCAAGTACATCAATCCATAATAAAGGCAGTGTTTATTTTTTAAAGGTAAAATAATTACTGTGTTGTGTTCTTGGTTAATTCTAGAATAATGCAATATTCAGATAGCCAAAATCTCCTGTGTGTGTATTTTCAGCCAGTGATGAGGTTGCTAGGGGAAGGAGTTGGTTTTGTTTATCGCTGAATTATCTTGGACTGAGGGAAAGCTGAAAAGTCAGAAGAACTAACGCAATTAGCTGCTGTTTTACTTCTCTAGAGATCTGTCCCTATCTCAGCCTCAGGAAAATACTCACTCAAAATCCAAGCAACACAACACAATTTGTACTTGCTGTGAGGACAAACTATTAACTGTCACTAAAATGCTGACCTTTCAAGAGGTTTTAGAGGCATATTCTTTTAATTTTATCCTCAACAAACAAACCACTGCATTTTCTGGAGCAATGTGAGCATACAATTAATTGCCTCTGGAAACCGACTGTGCTAGGGGAAGATTGAGTAGTTAATTATTACCCACAATGTGTTAATAATAGCTTTCCTTAGAGCTTATCCTTAAATGCAAAAGTAGACTAGCCATATTCTTCTAGCCATGCCTGGGAAAAGAACCTCTTCCACATTTCAAAATTAAAACCAGAACTGCCAGAGCAACCATCTTTGGCAGCTTTGTTTAAAGCAGGGCCATCAGAGAACCACCTTAGATTTGAGAGCTACAATTAAGCATGAAAGAAGCTCCCTCACCCCAAGCACCTCTGTGAGACCTGCCTCTGGAACAAGTCCCAGCAAGGGTGCCAAAATCAGTTCAAGCTGGCCAAGGTATGAGTACTTGTGCGACACTATTACTTACATGTGTTCAACAGACAGCTTCCAGTCAAGTATTACACACTCATCTGAAAATATGGCACAGTGAATACACTGCCAAGTTAAACCATGAGCAGCTATCATGGAACAGGGAGGAAGAACTGGAGCAGAAAGTTTTGCAAGAGCTGCTGAAGTATGGCCAGAGTTGTCTCAGCCTCAAGCTTGCCCTCTGAGTTCTTGCCTATGCAAACCTACTACCTTCCTGCTATGGGATTTTTTGCTTCATTTTACTTTTCTGGTATGAAGATATATCATTTCACATCTTGGGTTTTTCAAACAGCCTTCCAGACCTGCATCCACACTTCTAAGTGAATATAGTCTGGTATAGGGAGGTGTCTGATACCTACTACTTCCAGCTGAGTTTGCCTTTATAAATTTTTGATTGATTAAAAATAGTAATAATCAGTTTGACCCCCTTAGTTTTTATTATAACAAAACAAGGAGAATTACTTTTGCCATTTCTTGCTCCAACTGCAATCTTCTGTTAATTTTCTGCTGGTAGGTCTTTATGACATTTTCCACATGTTGCTCCATGTAGAACTTGAAGGCGAAAGGCGAGTAACTCTTTATTCGGGATTCTCGCTTTTCCTCGTCTTTGCCATTTTTTCGCACAGGCACAGGAGATGTCTGGATCTGCTTTTTATCCTTGCTTGGTTTTTCGGCTTTACTGCTCTTGGTGCTTTTATCATTTCGCTCACTGTTCTCCTCAGCCTTACTGCATGTTGAACTGGGCACTACACGGAGGGTCTGCTCCATGCCCATGCATAAGCAGTTGATATCAAACTGCTCAGAGGTACCAGGAAGTAGCAAATGCTTGGGATACGGTGGTGGTGGACACCGCAGCTCCTGGTTCCCGTAATCCACATCAAGCTGATAAGCAGTAGCTGCTCCAACAGGTGGCACATGCTGCTCAATGATCTCCAAGCCATCCACAGCTGGTGCCTGTGCAGGTAACCAACCAGGATGGGAAGGCCCCACTGCAGTCTGAGGCTCAGGTCTCATCACTCGCATGCTCTTCACCGGCTGGAGAATATGAGCAGATGTGACTGCTGTGGTTGTATTTGGAGATGTAATTGAAGGATCAGGTTTTCCCGGAGGAACTTGCCTTATAGATACTGTCACTTGTGGCTGTTGCTGGTGATTGTTAAAGGAGTTTGTTCTGCTCGGCACTGTGGCATCGGGTCTGAAGGATACGTGTTGCCGTGGAGATGCTTCTATTCCTGGGTTTTGTAAAGAGTCTCGGCGTGATGGTGTTGCTGCCTGCCACTGCTGAACTTGAGGATTATTCATGTCATAGAGGTCCATATTTAGGCTGTTTCTAGACGGAGTTAATAGATTTTGTGGTGGACTGTCTGAAAAATCATTAGCAAAGGCTGGACCTCTGGGTATCACATGCATTTGATGAGAAGAAGGACTTGTCTGTTTGTGATGAGAATGTGACATATACAGGCTTGCTGGTGCCTGCTGAAACGCATGACCAGTGTTATTCTGAACAACTGCCCCTTTATTTGGGAGATTGGCATATCCTCCCTCCTGCTGCATCTTGTTTTGGAAGGATGGACTCCGCTGAACACCATACCCCATCGGTTCCCCCTGCACCATCATGTGCTGCCTACTGTAATGTTGGCTGTTGGAGCCATGGGACGCCTGCAGCTGCAAAGCTTGACCGCTGTGATTAGCCACTGGGTAATTAATCACAGAAGACTCAATATTCGCAGGGTATGTTTTCTGCTGATGGCTTGTTGGTGTGCTGTGAGTGCCTACTCCAGAGGGTCGCTGTACAGCAGCATTCATGGCTGAAGACTGCGACGTCGAGATTAAATAGTCCATGTATTGCCTTGGAACTTCAGTAAGCATATTTGCACCTTCTGCTCCAAAGCCTGTCCCTTCATAGGCTGCATTACTGATCTGATGGTAGGACGGAAAAGCTTCATTTGATCCTTCAAAGCTTGGCCTGCGGGTTACATTATTTGGCACAATACCCTTGCCTTCACAAAAAGAACACAGAAGAATGTTAGGAAACAATTCAGGTGAACCAATTACTTTGCATTACTTATCCATCTATGCATGCAGACGTACACACGCGCGCACACTGCGGAGGGAGTTTGTGTTATAAAAACACCTTTCAAAATCTAAATTAAGCACTCTAAACACTGAAAGTTAGAGGAGCCAAGTACTCCTACTGATAACGAGCCACTGGCCCACAACACTGCTCACACCAGGAATCATCAGGGAGTCCTATCAAATCATGAAAATAGAAGCACAAATTCCCTAACTATGAACTCATCAGATTACACTACAGCCTGTTTTTTAAAGCTGGACCAGTATGATCAGTCATTACTCACAGAGAGGAGGAAGCTACAGAGCAGGGGGTTAAGGACAGCACCAATGGGAGGAAAAAAGCTCCCAGGACTGTCCGTACAACTTAAAAGTCAACATTGCCATAAGCTAATAAGTCCTCACACAGTCCACATCTTCTGTATAGTGAGCCCACTGCTCACACTGGGGATCTGTTTACATCTTTCTGTTCCATCGTTCTCCTCAAAAAATCCTTTTTTCCCTCTCCTTCATTCAAACAAAGGCATCATGCAGTTTGTTCTGTATACTTTCCAATGTGTTGGACACACCTTTCATCTGTTTGGAAGGAAAATCTTTCAGGGTGTCAACATACTAATCTTAGCTTGAAGAATGTGCAGAGACAAGATAGCAGCATTCCTACAATGGAAGTGTTAATGGCACTTTTCATCAGTTCTTTGATCTCAGGACAAATTGCAGGTGTATAAAGCACTGGCTGTGCTAAAAAGACAAGAGGAGACTCTGTGCTGTTGTTATTTTTTTGTTCCCCTTCTGGTCCTTTAGCTTTCACAAATCACAGGAGTTGGCCCATTTATGCTTGAACAATTTCCTTTTAAATCTTGACTTCACAAGGCCTGTAAGAATAGCTGTATTGAACCAACAGGCCTGAGCACTGTATTGCAAGCTTTCTGCATTGCAGGGTGTCCCAGCTGGGCCAGATGCAGCACACCCAAGCATGGGTGCGACACGCAGACACACAAGGATGGGCACATTATTAAGACAGGTTTATGCACCCTCTCTGCACACTGAAGAGGCTGCCCCCACACTAAACACTTTCATGAACAATGAAATGCTCTGAAATTAATCAGGTTGGACAAATAAACAGTGCTCTTTAAAGTCAAACCTGTAATTGGCAGCAATTTCTCCTGCAATAATGCAAGGCCAGGCTTCCTGAGGCTGTACTTAGAACAGCACTCCCTGACAGCTCATCTATTGGGACACACTGACATGCACTGATGAGGCTGTGGCAATCCAAAGCATCCTAAGAAGTGGGTACTCTGGCCTGAAAGTGGGAGGCAGCCATAAGAACACATTTGTCATCTCTGTCAGCAGGATTCATGCTGAACCTCAGGGGCAAACTGACTCTGCTTTTCCCTATGACAGGCCATGAAGGAAAGTACCAACAATTATTGTCCTTCTTTGGGACACATACTTCAGCTGTGCCAGGAATCCTGATGTCAAGAGAAGTATGATGTCCACCTCCTAAATTTGTACAACAGTAAGTCTGTTCTGAAGGAATACTTGGATTTCTGAAGATACCAAACATGGTGGCTGCAAATGATTTCTTCTTTTTTTCCACATATTCCTATCCAGTATGGCTCCATACATCAGCACATAGAATTCAAAACCAAAAGATTTAAATTCTAAAACTGCAAATTAAAAGTTGCTAAGCAGCATTACATACTTCCTAATGAACTAGAGGAGACCTATGCTATCCTAGCACAAACAACACCATACCAAACACATCAGTAGGATTTTTTGCAGCACCTAAGCCAGGCAAACATCAATTGCATTAAGGCTTGCATTCTGTGTATCTTAAAAGCAAAGGTGGATCTTCATCTGGAAAGGTTAAATATTCCAAAGAGATGCATGCATTGGAATGTTAAGAAAGCAAAACCAAATGCAAAATGAAAGGCAACTGAGCAACTAAAATCTTAGCCTAGAAAGATTTTTCAACCCTTTCAGAGGAAATGTATGCTCTTTATGGCTGGGTGTGTTCTTTCACTTTAAGGAGTAAGGTCTTCATAACATAAAACGCAGCTCAGTAATTCTGTCAAAGTTATTCTAACTTCTCCTTAAGGCCCAGTTGAAGCCACATTTGTGCATGTATTAGGATAGAGCTCTCCAAGTACCAAACTGGCCAGTATTACTTACTCTGTCATGTGGTCATTCTGCAGGGTAACACACTCAGAAATGTGTTCTTAGAGGCTTCCAGAATTTCCCAAAACAATAAAACAGAAAGTTTAACACTCACAGAAAGGGCAGCTGATCTGCCCCTTACACAGAACCATCATCCTTTCTCACCACACGTGAAGCTCCATTTCTGAGTGACCACCTGACAAATGAGATTCTTCCCTGTATGTGGCTACCCTCAAGGTACCCCAGGGAAGACGTGGCTTTAATGAAGATCTCCTTCCTGTCCAGAGATTTCTCTTTGCAAACTTAATGGGATTTCTCTTCCTCAGCTTTCATTATCTATGGACATGTCCCTCTATCAGCTACACCAAACTGACCACCTTTCCCAACAAAGACCTTAAATTTGACCAAGAGGCAAGGAAGGAGGAAGGTGTTTCTGAGGTGGCCAAGAAGAGAGCTCTGTCATGTGGGAATCATTTGCACTCAGTAAACTCAAATTATGACCACACTTGGACACCTATGCTACTATAATAGGATTGTTTGAATGGTTTCATTAGTTTCAACTAGTCCAACACAGACAAGACCTTTTAAGACTAAACTGTTGTCAATGTTGCAAGACTAGGTCCTTGTCAAACAAAACAGGCCCCTGACAACAGCTCTCCAATCTTCTCAACTCTTGACCCACTAACCCTTCTGCAGCATGTAACACTCCAGTGTGATGATGCAGGTGCAGCCAGTCAGAGGATGGATGCCTGTCTGCTTGGCCAACTTTTGAAACTTAAAGAAGATAAAACTAGCAAACTCTACCCAAACCAGAGGTTACCCTGATCCCAGATCAAAAGCATTCTGCAGGGCTGTAAGTGCTAATATCTGCATGGAAACAACTCTTGCAAGGCCTTTTGTCAGCTATGGTCTGATGTTTGCTGATGAGGCATGTGCAGGGCCCAAATGCTCCGATTTGCTAATTTACACGAAATGGAGCTGAAGCAGACTAGCAGGGATGAGTGGAAAAACTTCTGCTCAGCCCACACTATTTCTGCAGTGTACTTACAAGGATGTTAACATGAACAAATTCCTGGGAAGTGAGCTATTTCACAACTCCATAGCAATTACCTACAAGCCTAAGCTTTTTCCTCACGGTAAGCTTGAGATGACCTGAGCTGACTTGCACCAAAGGATTTCTGTTGAAGAAGGTGGACTGTGAATGTGTACACAGACAGTTCCTTCAAAGCAGGTGAGTTGTATTCAGGTTCCAGCTCACCTTGCAGGGCCACATTCACTTCACTGTCTTGTACAAGACTAGTAGGAACACTATCAACCCACTACCTCTCACCAGCAACGACTCTCCTTCACAAACCAGATTATTGCAAGAAAGAAGAACACAGTTTAAGAAAATAAAAAGCTCATGCTTACCCGGTGAGGTTTGCTTGATTACACGCACTATCTGTTCATTTCTAGGATCCAAGTAGCTCATCTTACTGATATACTCCAGAGCTGCTTCAATACTTCTGCTACCTGTCTGCTTCAGTGCTCGGACAGCCATCTCCTGTATAAAGCAAACGAGTTCAATCGCATTGAGACAAAACTCAAGCACTGTGCTGCAGGCTAGAAAGCAGTAAGTGTTCTTACATTAATAGGAACATTTTAAACACAGCTGCCTGAAGCTAAATGGACTCATATTTTGAGAACATTTGCATGCCTTACACAACTCAAAAACTGCAAGAAGGAAATAAGAAAACCCACAACCTCCCCATATTCTGGTAATTAAAGAAGCATCAAGTTGAAATGTGTGCTTTAAGATTCCTCAAAGTAATCTTCAAATGAGGTCTGGAAAAGGCAGCATAGTTTGACAGTGGATGAAACAAAATGAAAACTTGGCTGTTGGTATTTGAGAGCATGTCTCTTAGTCACACCTGAACACAGTAAAAGGTTTATCCTTTCACAGATGCCACAAGGAGCTAATTAGAGGGAGGTTGATTTCTGCTCGCTAGAGTCAATAGGGAAGAAAAACTATTGTTTTCTGTATGGCTGGGACACCTTTCACTATTTGTTTGGAAAATGACTGAAAGTCACACTGTTAGTCTTTCTAGCTTGTATCTAGTTAATATAGGTGTCCTGAAAACTAAAACCTGAAAACTAAAACTGGGGCCAATATGAATGCTCTAGATAAATTAACACAACCACGGCTAGCTCTACAGCCAGCAAGTTACAGCCACCTACAGTTTGTTTATGCTTTTACCTATAGCTCAGGTACATAGAATACCTTTCAACAATGAGTCTAGCACTGCACAGTTACAAAGCAAAAGTCACAAATCCTCAGGATGCTGCATGGTCTTTTCTGAAATGATGGAGAAACTGAAATCCAGAGTTTTAATGCTGAATTTAACTCACTGAACTTCACCCACCAAAAAGCTAGACACCTAGCTGAAAGCAGTTGCTGAGAACCTTTCTAGAACCACTTCCAAGAAGAAATTCATAAAATGGATATAACAAGAGATAAACTGATCTCTGGTGACAGATGAAGCTGAATGAAATGAATACCACCACCAAGGAGTTGCCTGCAAATGTCAGTATCCCAATATCTTGCCACTTTACTACTATTTTTAGGGGAATTCTGTCATCACAACCTGCCCACTGAGCACTGAATCAGATTGAGTTTGTGACTTTTTGGCCTGGCTTGCCGATTGCAGATGTGACAGCTGGGTTGGCACAAGCACACTGCTCTCCCAGGGTCAGTTCTGCACATGGGCTAGTAGTCAGGTAACCACAACTGGAGCAAGGAGCAACTTTGCTTGACTGAACTGCACGTACATGTAACATACTTGCTAATTGTTTACTTAGCAAGGGAGGATCATCTCAGATGACACTAATTCACACTTAGCGCAGAGCCATGCGCTGGCACTTGGCATTTTGCTTCGCTTAGCTCAGTCCCTTCCTACTCCCCCCAAAATGGCAGCATTTTCTCCATTACTCAGAGGTTCTGCTTGGGGAACAGCTATAGCAAGCTGAATATTTTTCATACAATTTATGACTCATAATTCATAGAAAGGCAGTAGTTGGTTTCACATTTCCTATAGCTGAAATACTTCACTGACATCAACACATTACTAAGGGCAATTTGAAATCAACAGAAAAGTATTATGTATGAAGGAAAGAATTTCCCACAATGGTTTTTCCTCTCTTTCTTTCTTTTTTTTCTTCATCTGGATACATTTCTAAAGTATTAGCAAATTTGCATCCTAGTGCTCAGCATTCTCATTATCCAGGGACTCTGGGCTTTACAGCCCTGTTCCACTGGGCTGCTAACACACTCTGTCCTGTTTACACTAGTTGGATCTAGTCTTAGATCATAAGTCTTAAAGTTTCCTAAATCAAATATGATCAAATTAAATGATCCGTACACACATTTGGGCTGGCTTTGATGTTGGGTTTTTTTTCGGTACTGAGAAAATAAATGGTTGGTAAACCAGAGCAAATCTCACTGATTAATAAATCAGCCTATATGATCCATTTCTCCCCCTCTTAGCTGTGTTGGCTGTATATAATTCAAAGGGGCTAAAGCAGGATTATCACCAGCACAGTGATACCATCTCCGAAAGCAATGCTCTTCCCTCCCATACTGTGGCAGTACTTTCCCCGCTTTTGCCATTGCCTATGAGTGAAAAGCCAAGTAAAAATTACACTGCTCTACTTGAAGCTGCATGTTCTACCTTCAGCACATATGCTAAGGGATTCATATTTAAACTTCAGTTGGAATAATGTGAGGGGACGAGCACAACATATTTCACTGTGCACTGCTGGATAACCTAAAAGCCCAGCAAGATCTTGGGACCAGCAAGTGTGTCCCTGGCAAACTCACCCTTGCAAGCCCCCAGTGCTCCATGCTCCAGCTCACTGCTCCTCATCTTTCATTAGGTCAGTTCCCACCCTCCAAAGGTTTTCCTCATTACATACCTTGTTTGCTTAGCATTTACATGACTGCTGGAAAAAATGAAGTAAGTTTTTTAGTGGTTCAAAAGAACACCTGTGATTTCCCTGTATACCATCCCATAGCTGTGGCCCTTTCCCCTGTAGCTCTCATGAGACACAAATAACACCAGTTTCTGATACTGGTTCACAAAAGCTTCTCATCATCTCTAAGCAAATGGAGAGCAACCAACAAAAAAAATAAGCATTCCACATACAAAAGGAAAAGGTTTTTCCTCAGAGGCAGATCACATATAATCATAATTTTCCACCCAGGAGACAAATCCCTCTGGGAGCATCTGACACTCCAGCAGAGTGGAGGGCAACATGAAGCTCCAGCACTGTTACAGCTATCCTTTGTCCTTTCTCTGCATTGTTTTTCCCATGTCCACAGCTCTCTTTTCTCCAGCAGCCACCTGAAAAGGGCTACATTAATTCCAACACCTTTTCATTAGGGATGGAGGACAGCCTGATGCATAGCTAGGGCTCACAGAGGCTGTGCTCTGCCTGAGGTGGCTGCTAGCACCTGGGGCATGGTAGCCTCTCCTTCCCATATGCAATGCAGTGATGAGCTCTGCTGAGCAAGGGAGCATGGCTGGGATGAAGCAGGGAAGGGCTGGCCTCCAGCAGGGGCCAGAGCTTGGGCTCCATTTGCTGGGAATCAATATAAGGGCTGTTTTGAGGGATGGGAAGAAGGGCAGAAGTTGGATTAACCAGTGTCAGTGATTACACTTGCTGGAGAGCAGAGGCTTAAGTGAGGATGGAACATGTTTGTGAGAAGCAGCAGAATGGCTCAAGGAGAGAAATCAATGCCAAAATCTTGGAAACCGATATAGTAGACAGTAGAAGGGCTGAGGAAACAAGAGGACAGACACTGGGCAAGGATAAGAGTGCACAGCTACACTGACACAGATAGAGCTGTCTTGATTTTACACCACTCTAAGGAAAGTACGTTTTAGAAAGAGAAGGGAAAAAACGACCAGGAATGAAAGAGGAAAATGAAAATCTACTTGGAGCTGCAGCCAATGCCAAAACACTCAAGTAAGCACAGGATCAAATCCAGCTCCCACTGAGGTCAACAAAGATTTCCATTAACTGCAAGGTACACTGCATCAGGCCCTCTGCTCCAGATTGTTTCCTTTTCACCAGGCCAAACGCTGTCAGCCGCAGTACGGGCTGAGAATCCTTGGCTGTTGGCTGTGCTGTGCTGCCCCACAGCCAGCTGTCAGGCTGCAAGGAGAAACACAAGCCACTGCCAGCACACATGTAAACCCCAAGGTAACGGAGCGGCCCCGGCCCCAACTCATTCTTTGTGTTCTGTACGTTCTCTTCGAAGGATTCAACCATGTCCCCATGCAGGGCTTTCATGCACCTTTTTGCTTCCAGACATCACTAGCTATTGATGAAAAAATAAACCAGAAAAAGTAATGGTGAAAAGCTACGAGGGGAAAATGTGCATTTACAATTAGCTCAAATAACTCTGTAATGAATGTTACAACTGAAATATTGAAATGAGGTTTCAGTGGTGAGCTGTGGTTCTAGACAGATCTAATGGAAAAGCAAAGTCAGGCCATGAACCACAAAGCAGATTGAGGAAACTCTGCACGATCCGAAATTTGTGGCTTCGTAGAGCAAAATGGGGAGGGTGGAGTTTCCCAGTTAGTTCCTACAGTGGGCTACCTAAACCAGACAGCTGCATGGTCCACATGCTCTCCGTTATTTCCCCAGTCTCACGCTGGTAGAAGGCAGCTTTCCAGCAGATTTCAAGATTTTGCTAGAAGGAAGGCCACTTTTGAGCTCAGATGCTCAATAGGGAAAATCCTTGTTTGATGGTAAACAGATATTTGGATGTGTGCATATAAAGACTTGGTCTCACTCTGTGCTCTGTAGGCAATGTGAAAGGCTTTCCCCATTTTACCCTCCTGCCTGGCTGTACTCCACCAGCACTGGCAGAGGTTTGCGTTCTTGCTGTACTACAGGGTTGTCCAGCAACATTTTTCATTCAGAAAGCTCCTTGTTGCCAAGATGTATTTATCATCTGAGTGAAGATTGCACAAGAGGTTACAATAAGTAAGACTTTTTCCCAAGAACATTGTGTCTGAAGGAGACAATAGGTCCTCCAAGATTTGGCAAGGGTAATTAACTGCTAACAACAACAAAAATTAATTACTTGCTTTCCATTCACAAAGAAGGACAGGCGACAGATGCAGGAAACAGATACAGGTTCCCCACAGAAGGGAAAAAAACTAAAGTTCATGCCAGATGAGATGATCCAGAATTGATTACAAGGCTTTCTGTGATAGCCCACCATTGTAAGATGTTTCATTCATGATTTTAAACACGCATGACCTAAGAAATTCAGGAAACAACATACACAATATAAATATACTCTGTCAGAACTGCTGCAGCTCAATAGAACAGAGAAATTAATTTTGTTATATTCTCTATCTGTAATTATTGTCCAGATGGACACTGCATCCAGTTTTGTACTCTACTTTTGTTTTGGCTCTTTTCAGGTTGCTAACACCAGGGGCTAAATTTTGCCCACAAATTTCCATGTCTAACTATAACCTTGATTAA